TACAGTATGCAGTTGGTGGTATTCTCACAGTTATATTGCAATTTGATAATTACTTCAAAAGGTAGAATTAAGCTTATACATACCCATTTAAGCACCTACATACAAAATTTAGGAGTTTCTAGTATTCATAAAACTCTTACCCATTTTCACTGAGCTATGTAGCAGTTTACCATCTCTGGACAATTAGGTGTCTAACAGTGAGAATGCAGAAAAATGTCTAAATATTGAGTAAGCTGAGTTACCATCCAACCTGCAAGCCATTAGGCATGCTATGTATCCTCTGAACAACCTCAGCCAAGAGACCATAAAAGTAGTGTGATGGTATCTCTCTAATGCTTCCTAATGCCTTGCAAGTGCACAGTTCACCACATGTATGGGACCCAGACTTATCTGTATTATTCAATTCTGAGCAGATATTAACTTGGATTTTGGAAAAGCAGAAAAATATTATACCTCTTCAGCTGTGGAATATATTAACACAGGCTTCTTGCAGTTTCTTCTTTTGAAGCTGTTCTAAAATGGAACAGAGTACACATTGGAATACATGACTCTGCATTTTAATCCTTAGAATGCACACCTAAAAGGAGTGTAGGACTATCTGGCCTGAAGTTATTGTTTCAAGAACAGTTTATGTATTATTTAAAGACTGGTTGTTTGTTTTGTTTTGGTTTTTTTTAAGTCAAAATTTATACCAATGATTTCTGGATTAAAAATTTTATATACCAAATTATTAATAGCATTTGGATTCAATATATTGATAGGAAAGAACAAAAACACCCCACCATGCAAGACCCCCTGAAGTACAACCACATGCTTTAATCCTAAATGAAGAGATTGTCATGACCCTAGCATTAAACTCTACTTTCCACCAGCTGGAAGAACAAGAAGATGTAAACCAAAGTCTTGAAAATCTGGGATTATTAAAACTTTGTCCTTATTAGCAAGGAAATTTGATCCTAGGGAGTGTCAGTCACATACAGTACTTAATACTAGGTTAAAAATAAAAAAAAACAAAACTAAACTAAGTCGAGATAGTTTTAAAACGAGTAAGCAGATGGAAGTAAATTCCAGGGCTTTTTTTTTGTTAACTGGTAGCTTATATGACAACTTCAAATCAATTTGCCTCTACTTGCCTTCACCTTGTAAAGAAATAAAAGCACCATATTTGGGGGCATGCATGCTTATTTCTTCTATTTGTCTAAGATCCAACTAGTGAAGCCATCTCTTTTTCTAAATTCTCCCCAAAACATATTTCAACACTAAGACAATCCTTTTTCAGCTGTAGATAAGACAGATGAGTACATCAATTAATAATGTTATTTCATTCTGGAATTTAAGTTAAGAAAGGAGAGGATACAAACTACTGCCAGAGATTCTTACTAGCAGGCTTGCAGAAAGCAAAGTTTCTGCACAAATCCATATACTTGCCTGGTATCACACCATTTCACACAGCCTTAATATTGTCTGTCATGGTCAGTATTTCTAAGAAATAACACTTTGGAATTGCTAAAGGTGTCCGGCTGCTAGTGTCAATGTTTGGGCAAGACATTTTTCAAAGACAACAGCTTGTTATTATCTATTTCATCCCACCTCTTAGATGCCAACTGCTTTTTATGCCCTGAAAAATGAAGGTAAAGAACTCTGAGTACTGGAGGATATTACTAAAACAAATTGTATGACGAATAATGAAATACCAGGCAGAAAGTCAATCTAAAAATAAAAAACATAACTATTTCAGTACAACTCTCTGGTAAAGCATGACTTTATCCTGTCTTTTTTATACAGTGTCCCCTCACCCTGTTGTGACATGTTCCTGATACTACCCATGTTGTATTTGCACACCATCTCATGACCTAATGCAAACATTTTTTCCTAACAAAAAAAAAACCTGCCCAAAACAAAAAAAAACAAGTGTGCGGGGGGGGGGGGGGGCAGGGCAGGGGAGAAATTATACAGTTCTGACTGAACATGCAACTTCCCTTTTATGGTATATACCTAGAGGTTTAGAAAATGGACACTATCTTCTCTATGTCTGGTTTCTTTTGCTTTTTTAATTGCAGCTCTTACTTTTGCTAGCAAACATTCCAGTCAAGCCTGAAGTGCCAAACAACTAAGAACAGGCTGACAACACACTTCCTTTTTAAAATCCAAAAGAAAGGGGTAAAAGGCAATAATCTAATTTCTGGATATGCAAAAATTCACTGCTCTGTAAACCCTTGCTAAAAATCAGGGCATCAAGTGCCTTCATGCTTCATACAGCCACTTCCTCTTCCCATTTCTTCCTTTCCATTTCATAACATAGAAACCAAGGTGCCCCCATGTATCTCTCCTCAGACGGCATCCATGAAGGAAGAAAAATAGGTCTGTTTTGTCCCTCAGGCCGTGACCATTCCCCCTTACTAGTCTGAGGTCGCAAGAAACCTGAGCCAAGGCCCCCCCTCCCCAATCCCATACGAGTACCAGAATAAACATAGGAAAATTTATGTTTACAATCACCTCATGAAAAGGCCAGAAGAGACAAGCTAATAACCAAAAGCTTAATCTCAGATTATGAGTTACTAGTAATTAACATCCCCAAAAAAACAATTACATGGCCAGGCCAACACTAACAATGCTGCTGGCAAAGCTACACAGATCAAAAACATGCGGGTAACCAAAAAACATGCCTGCAGCTGCACAGTGCGACGGGTCTAAAATAAAATATGTTTGTTAACACAAGCTCCATTCACATTAGAAATGCTCCCCAACTAGCAGCAGTGCTGGTACAGCTGTATCAGCAAAGCCGTTCCACTGAACCTGGTCTAAGCAGCAGTACACAGAGAAAACTCTGCCTCTTTCAACACCCTGCCCTGTACTCTACTGTGAAGCTAATGTATTTTACGTAAGATCCGCAACAGGAAGCTCAGAGAAATGTTAATTGGCACCTATAAAACCCATGCTAATTTGAGCCAAAGAACAGCGCAAAGTTCAATTAAAGAGAGAAATGCCCTTATCAGCCACTAGGGGAAGTTAGCTTCTAATTTTACCTTTTGGTTTCGGGGCAAGTCTTGAGCATTTGCAGGAGGATTGAAATTCAAAACTAGTCTTCGAAACTCCAGGAGGTTAAATAATGACTGAAAAGGAAAAAAAAAAAAAAATAAAAAACGTTTAAGCACTTCTGTAAACAATACAAAATTCTTCCAAATGTGCCTTAGTGAATTAAATGAAAAGTAGAACATATGAAATTGCAAAGTTTCATTTCAGAAGCTGTATGATGTCACTTAACTTTGCTAAACATATTTTCAACAGAAGACTATTTTTGCTGAGAAAACAGCATAATGAAAAAAACTTCTTTACAGTTAATCACATAAATGGAACAATAATTTTAAATAAGTGAATTACTTTTTACGAGAATTTTATTAATTCTGTAACTGTCAGTTTTCAAAGCGAAATTAAAGCCTGTTTAGCCATGTAAAATTCATCTTGTAGCCCCTCTATCATCTACCTCCTCAGTGCAGAGAGAGTACATCTTTGTATACACAACTTAAATCCACTTCCAATTATCTGTACTTTTTGCATTCTGTCCACTTCTCCCATTATTATAGGATCTGAATACTGTACATTAGAGTAAGGAAACTGGGTTATACATCTTTGCGGGTAAGGAACTGGTAACATTCTCATTTTACGGACAACAATACATGAAAACAGGGGTCTACAGGCATACCTGCAAAGAACCCCACAGCGTAACACAGAGCCTGGAGCCAAGAGAGTACAAGAATAAGATGACTCCAGGTTGCAAAAATAAAAGTCCAAAGCAGTGGCCGAGAACTGAAGTCTTCGGCACTTGCATAATTGCATCGTTGCTTTTCTGTCCAGGCAGAAAGCACTTTAGTTAAAGTTCACTTCATTACCACAGACTAGCATTTTAATGAAGAAAGGGTAGCAGAAAAGTTCTGAAGTATTTTAAACATGCTCACCAGAGAAGCACAGGAAAGATTTGCCCTCCTATTCATCCCCTTTGGTTTTACAATCTATAATTAATGGGTTTTTTCCCCCTGATCACATACTGCTATTTCTTTTGGAAAGGCAGAGCTTGCCTACCCCAGCAATAGACTTTGATCCCACAACTTGTCCTACACAGGTAAAGACTTAAGTCACAGACCACAGCAGGTTTAATAGGATTTCAACCCTACAGTGCCAGGAAAGTGAAACTCAAATTGTAAAGAGGCACTGCATTTATTCTAATAATTTAGAACATGTTGGAAGGAAAACAAAAGATGTTTGTGAAAAGTAGCAACATTCCCGACTCTCCTCATGAAAGAGCCTGTACCGAGTTTAACCTCTTCCCATACCCCACATTATACAGCATTTCCAGCAAAATGAAGAGGCTAAAGTTGTCTTTCCTAACATTTTTAGATTTAAAAATAAATTAAAAAAAAATCAAAAACACCAACCAAAAAAGACCTTTCTGACCTTGCTAAATCAACACAGGCAATTGAGTAGTCAAGCTTTTTTTTTTTTCTCTGTTTTGCTGTTCAAAATACAGGTTCCCCTTTTATCCGTCCTTGCAGAGAAGGGAGATTAAAACACAGAGTCCTTTGTTTACTTACTCAAAGCATAGAAAATGTTAATATTTAATTCAAGTGTCATTCTAGAAGTTGATACTAATTGAAGTTATGTCTCATGATGTAACAGCATTCCACTGGTGGGCTCTTCATCAGCGAAACATAGCAATGTCTTATGCACAAAATAAACCAGCTGCTGAAGTATAGTGTCCAAAGACTGACTTCTCTCCATGACTAATCCAAGTGCCATCAAAGTGCCAAGCATCTGAGCTGGCCAATTTCGTAATACACACACACGAATTAAGTGCAGAAAACTGTACTAAAGTTTAGAATTTTTGCCTGACATTCAATCCACAAGTTTTTCACAAAAACTATATTTCTTTAATACAGAACTCTAAACCGTAAACATGTAACTCATGCTTTACTAAGGTGAACAAACATATTTCTGCAAGCTGCTGAGAATAATTAAGAGGATTGTCTGATATGCTCTTTTCTTCTTCAACTTTGTTCTACTCAAAATTTGTTATGCAAGATATTTAGTTATTAAACTTTTCTCCAAAACAGCTTACACTGTGAGTGGTTGTACGGCTATGCAGCAGAACACTCACAGTTAATCTACCGCCAACACCACTAATGCTAACAGGACAGTATCATCTTGTAGCTCTCATATACAGAGCTAAATCAACTTCAGGAAACTTCCATCTTCATGAAAAAAAAAAAGATAATTTCCCAGTGTAAGTGTAAACAAGTATACAATAAGTGTGCCTGAGACCAAACAATTTTTGTGCCCGAAGTACCTCAAGGAGGAACTTACAGTTGTTCCTGAGGTAAGAAGATATACGTGAGCTCACCTAAGCTCTCATTGCAGCAGAGACCTCTCATGGTCAACCACCCCAGTGCTTCAGAAAGGGGCTAGGCAAAACAATTCCCAATTTGCTGAGCCACCTGTTGACTAAGCTTCCTACACCCAGGGTAGGCAATGCCATGGAGCAGAAGCTGCTGTTCTGCAGCCACCAAAAGAAACACAGCAGAGACTGTCCCTGGCCCGAGTGCCACCCGCTGGCCCCAGGCCAAAGCACTGGCCTTCCAAACATGTTGCATGGGGCAGCACTTCATCTCTCACCTACTTGGCTTCAGCTACGGAAAGGTGTCAGGAGTCCCAGCGCAAGAAAACAGGCTGGATCTAAAAGGTGGATACTTTATATCTACTGGCCTTGGTCAAATATGTTTAAAATTTACCAACGTAAAGTATGCAAAACTTATGCATGCAAGAAAAATTCTCTAAAAGGTGGGGTTTTGTTTTTTGGGTTTTTTCCCCAGTGTATTTAAACCTACTTAAAAAGCTGTCATCTGGAAACTTGACCAAGCTAAGGCTAAGGCAAGTTATAACAATTCAAATTATCATGAAAATCAACAGATTTTCAGAATACCTGCCTCCTATTATGTCAGTTTGGGGACTGAACAAAAGAGTAAGTGAAAAATGAGACTGAACAACAACAAAAATCCAGCATCAGTTTAGGGTGTTCAAACTAACCGTGCTGAATGACAACAGACATACTGTGGCTTTCCTCTGCTATAGGTGGTAATGATGTAGACGTATTTTCTGTCATGCCAGAAAGAGCTAGGTAGAGTTGTAGCTTCAAGACTATAAGATATTAAAAACATTCACTTCTCTAAGTAATGTCTACCCTCATTATACAGAGTCCAAACACAGTTTCAGAACATAAGCTGCCTTCGTTTCACCTAAAACACCCTGCCTATCCCTTTTCCTCCCCCTTAATATCTAGGATTATCAAATATAAGGACCTCGGCAGAATTTAGGTTGCCTGAGTAAAGGATTAATTCTTAACATTCAAGAACTGTGATGCTACGTTAATACTGCAAGAATATAAATTAGTCAGCATATTAAATCCATAAAGCTTGGCATGCAACACAGATCATTAAGAGCTGCCAGCAGAGTCCTAAAATAGTAAAGGTACTGACATCAACAATACTTGGAGAGTAGGAAGACAGTACTTCTGCATCTAGATAAAAGATGACCTATCAAGCTGCTGCACAGGGCTTTAGACAGGCTCTCTGATGGATTCTTGCAAGTTCTGTAAGCACAGGGCACTAAAAACAGCTGTTTCAGTAGCAGATGTATGAAAACCTTCTGTTTTCTTTGACTAGCAATTTTATATTTGTTTCCACTGTTGAGAACAAAAAAGCAAAAAATTTTGTGCAAGAACTGGGGAATTTTTAATGTTGATCACCTTTCTACACGAAAGCCATAATTTCATAATACTATGAACATAGCCATCTTTCCATTCAATTCCTAAAGATTAAGCTTGGAAGGAAGGACGGATTTTCAAATAGATCTGTGAAACACGTATTAAAGAGATTCGGGCTACTAATTCTAAACTTGTCAGCAAGATGCCAAAAACATTCTCATTTGGCAGAAAGTCATCTAGGATGCTTAAGTAGAATGAATACATTTGACCAGTGCTATAACGACTGCAGAAAACCTAAACTTCTAAGGTGACAAGTAAGGGGAGGCAGGGGGGAAAAATGAAGCTTAGCAAACAAAATAGGACCTCCCTACTGGCAGACAGCTGGAACACCACCGGCATATTGTGAAATGCAGTCATCATTCAGGTGTCTCTTAGAGCAGCCCAAGAAAAGCTGCAGAATTTCTATTCTTGTGGCAGGCCAGTTCGTAGGGTCCCTTTTACTAAAGTGAAGGGGATTAACAACAGGCAAGGATGCCACAACTAGTGTAGGTGCGCATAACGACACCTATGTGTCAGCAGCAAATACTGGCTAGGAATTTGTCCAAATTAGTGCCAAGGCTTGAGATTTAACAGGAGAAAAAGACAAAGACTAACCTGAATTTTGGCAAAGAAAATTTAGGAAGGACTTAATTTGGCTAGCAGCCAAAAACTAAATATATCTTATTAATACAGCTTGAAAAGCAACTCTTCGGCAGGGGGGAAGAAAAGTATGCATTCCTACAGAGCTCCTAAATGAATTGCTTCAGACACTGGCATTTAGCTAAAACATGATCTTGTGTAAATTGAAAGCTTATATATGCATTAACACAGAAAATTTAGGAAGGACTTAATTTGGCTAGCAGCCAAAAACTAAATATATCTTATTAATACAGCTTGAAAAGCAACTCTTCGGCAGGGGGGAAGAAAAGTATGCATTCCTACAGAGCTCCTAAATGAATTGCTTCAGACACTGGCATTTAGCTAAAACATGATCTTGTGTAAATTGAAAGCTTATATATGCATTAACACAATGCAACACCCATTTGCCTCATTTAATCATCTGGGGCCTTTTACACATTTCCAATTTTACATTTATTCAGATTCTAAAGCCAGAAAGCAGAGACCATATCTACCTTCGTTTTGTATAGCAAGCGGAGAGCAATCTTAAAGAATGAATACATTATTATTGTTCTAAAAATAAAAAGCAAAAATAGAGCTCTGCCTATGTCACTAAGTATATTATTTGCAATACTTTGCCTCTGCCAACATGACAAATTAGACTTACATTCTCACTTCACTTTATAAACAATTTTGGTGGTT